TTCGTCTTGTGCAAGAGTGGACGAAAGTCCTCCGTGAATAACAAGTTGGTTAGAGGCCGTTCGTAGTTACGTCTTGACAAGATTGAATGTGACGAGATCGCTGGGGCAGAATACAGGCCGGAGTAGTGTTCTCTGTAGTCTGGGTCAACTGCGGGTTTCTGTTCTTCAAAGAGAAGGCAGTTGGCTTATTTCTTCGGCGGTCTTATGTACTTAAATAGCACGTTTTTGTCGGGCGCGTTCCAATATCGTGGCTTGCTTCCGTACGTTCCACTGGCGGATTTCCTAATTACAACGGTGCCGCATTTTCCGGAATACCCGTTCGTTTTCTACGTCACCCGTAGTTAGCTTTTGTAAAAATAGTTGGGACCTCTTTTCCAGAAGACGCCGAATCCTTTTAGGTAAGCTTTGGTGCATCCGGCTGCGCGCCGGCTTTTGAGGACCATCGCATCACCCTCATGAACTTTCAGGACAATGGTCCTGTATAAGTCTTTAACTAAAGCTGGGGCCAGGTTAAATTGCTCCCGGAAGCTACTCGTTTCACGAAAATCTGCACAGCAGAAGTTTCGAATCCACATTTGAAGCTCGGGATTTCTCGCACAGTAGCAGATGTCCCAGTGGAACGTTAATTAGCACCAGATCACCGAAGTGTCTTTCGTTGGTGATAACCAAATCCAGTAGGGATGGCAGTTGTACTGTGCGGTATATGGTGGATGTGACGACACGTTGAGTCCAAGCGCTTTGTTCAATAACTTTGATCAGCGCCACTGCAAGATGTCCAATAGGCCCGATGGGCTGGAGCTTATTCCAGAAAGCCCTGAGGCCGGTAACGCCACATACCAGCGAGATGATTGACATACAGGACTCACGGATTCAGGGATTGACACATAGGATTCAAGGATTCACGAATGAACGGATTGACACACAGGACTCACGGTCCACGGATTGATACATAGGATCGAGGCTTTTGCCCAAGTTTACCGGGTCGCTTTTCTTCTTGTCGGTCAGTGACTGTCGTTCACCTGAAAGGCACAAGTGAAAAAAGGGTGTAGCACTTTATGTGCTCTTTATGTTCTCAGAGCGGGACAGTATGCTTGCCAGCGCGAGGGTTCGCATAAATAAATGTCTAATAGTGCTTTAAACTGGGTTCTAGAAGGAGCGTGGACAACCGTCGGAAGAAGGTCATTCCACACACCTACTACCCGAAATGAGAAAAAATTTTGTCTAATGAGTGTATGTGCTGTGAGCTTGAAAATTTTATTACTATGTCCCTGCCGGGTGTTTGCTGGGTGAACGGTGAAAAACCTGTTTGCCAAGCTTTGTTCAAACAGGGCATAAGTAAGAAGTAGGTCCCCTCGGAGGCGACGGTACTCCAGGGGAAAGAGATCGAGCATCGCGAGGCGCGTTTCGTAGTCCACGGATTTAAGGCCGGTAACCATTCTCGTGGCGGCCCGCTGGACACGGCTCGATGAGGTGAGGTCTTTCGTGTGTCCTGACTGTCTTTGATCTAGTCGAACCTCATGCCCAATTTTCCCAAAAAGTTGAAAAATAACCCATTATTGCTATATCATCAGGTGTTCCCCACTGCTTGTGACACTGTCCCCTTTTTGTGCAATCCGTACCCCCACAAATCCCTCAGTCATGATCAATTCTGACTGTAAAACTATGATCATGCCAGACGGTATGCCACCCACAAGTTGGGAATAAACATTACTATTATTATTATTAGCGGCCCGCTGGACACGCTCGATGAAAGTGACGTCTTTCGTGCGTCCTGAGTAGACAACTTGGTTGGCGTACTCCAGGAGCAGTCTGACGTAGGCCCCATAGAGTATTTGGAAGTCCATGCGAGTAATACGAGAGAAGGTGCGTCGGATCATCCGTAAAATGGCGAATGCCTTTTGGGCCGATTTCTC